GACCCAGGTTTGAATCCTTGAGGGGATCATTTGGAGAGCTGTTGAAGAACTGATGGTTGTAGGGTACTAGGGGCCAGATTCACGAAAGCACTTACGCAAGCACTTACGAACCTTTACATCTTTTCTCAATCTTTGGCGGCTTTGTTTACAATTATTAAAGAGTTAATGAGATCCGAAGCACCAGGAGGCTGTTTATAACAATAACAACAGTTGATTGGCAAGTTTTCATGCTTGTAAACTGTTTAATAAATGTAACCAAAGCAGTCAAAGATTGAGGAAAGATGTACACGTTCGTAAGTGTTTGCGTAAGTTCTTTCGTGAATCTGGCCCCAGGTCTGCTGACCTACACACACTGGTCTGCCCACCCCCCTACGCTGGTCTGCTGACCTACACACTCTGGTCTGCTGACCTACATGCACACTCTGGTCTGCCCACCCCCCACACCTCAACATCCCCCCCCCGACCCTACACCATCCCTCCCCCCTGACCTTACACCATCCCTCCCCCCTGACCTTCCTTCCATCCATCCCCCCCTGACCTTACACCATCCCTCCCCCCCTGACCTTCCACCATCCCTCCCCCCCTGACCTTACACCATCCCTCCCCACCTGACCTTACACCATCCCTCCCCCCCCTGACCTTACACCATCCCTCCCCCCCCCTGACCTTACACCATCCCTCTCCCCCCCTGACCTTACACCATCCCTCTCCCCCCCTGACCTTACACCATCCCTCTCCCCCCCTGACCTTACACCATCCCTCCCCCCCTGACCTTACACCATCCCTCCCCCCCTGACCTTACACCATCCCTCCCCCCTGACCTTACACCATCCCTCCCCCCCCCTGACCTTACACCATCCCTCCCCCCCCTGACCTTACACCATCCCTCCCCCCCCTGACCTTACACCATCCCTCCCCCCCCTGACCTTACACCATCCCTCCCCCCCTGACCTTACACCATCCCTCCCCCCCTGACCTTACACCATCCCTCCCCCCCCTGACCTTACACCATCCCTCCCCCCGGACATTACACCATCCCTCCCCCCCCTGACCTTACACCATCCCTCCCCCCCTGACCTTACACCATCCCTCCTCCCCTGACCTTACACCATCCCTCCCCCCCTGACCTTACACCATCCCTCCCCCCCTGACCTTACACCATCCCCTCCCCCCTGACCTTACACCATCCCCCTGACCTTACACCATCCCCCCTGACCTTACACCATCCCCCCTGACCTTACACCATCCCCTGACCTTACACCATCCCCTGACCTTACACCATCCCCCGACCTTACACCATCCCCCCTGACCTTACACCATCCCCCTGACCTTACACAATCCCCCTGACCTTACACCATCCCCTGACCTTACACCATCCCCCGACCTTACACCATCCCCCGACCTTACACCATCCCCCCTGACCTTACACCATCCCCCCTGACCTTACACCATCCCCCCTGACCTTACACCATCCCCCCTGACCTTACACCATCCCCCCTGACCTTACACCATCCCCCCTGACCTTACACCATCCCCCCTGACCTTACACCATCCCTCCCCCCCTGACCTTACACCATCCCTCCCCCCCTGACCTTACACCATCCCCCCTGACCTTACACCATCCCCCCTGACCTTACACCATCCCCCCTGACCTTACACCATCCCCCCTGACCTTACACCATCCCCCCTGACCTTACACCATCCCCCCTGACCTTACACCATCCCCCCTGACCTTACACCATCCCTCCCCCCCCTGACCTTTCACTATCCCTCCCCCCCCTGACCTTACACCATCCCTCCCCCCTGACCTTACACCATCCCTCCCCCCCCCTGACCTTACACCATCCCTCCCCCCTGACATTACACCATCCCTCCCCCCCTGACCTTACACCATCCCTCCCCCCCTGACCTTACACCATCCCTCCCCCCTGACCTTACACCATCCCTCCCCCCCTGACCTTACACCATCCCTCCCCCCCTGACCTTACACCATCCCTCCCCCGTGACCTTACACCATCCCCTCCCCCCTGATCTTACGCCATCCCCTCCCCCCTGACCTTACACCATCCCCCCTGACCTTACACCATCCCCCCTGACCTTACACCATCCCCCCTGACCTTACACCATCCCCCTGACCTTACACCATCCCCCTGACCTTACACCATCCCCCCTGACCTTACACCATCCCCCCTGACCTTACACCATCCCCCCTGACCTTACACCATCCCCCTGACCTTACACCATCCCCCCTGACCTTACACCATCCCCCCTGACCTTACACCATCCCTCCCCCCCTGACCTTACACCATCCCCCCTGACCTTACACCATCCCTCCCCCCTAACCTTACACCATCCCCCCTGACCTTACACCATCCCCCCTGACCTTACACCATCCCCCCTGACCTTACACCATCCCTTGACCTTACACCATCCCTCCCCCCTGACCTTACACCATCCCCCCTGACCTTACACCATCCCCCCTGACCTTACACCATCCCTCCCCCCTGACCTTACACCATCCCCCCTGACCTTACACCATCCCTCCCTGACCTTACACCATCCCCCCTGACCTTACACCATCCCCCCTGACCTTACACCATCCCCCTGACCTTACACCACCCCCCCCACACCTTACACCATCCCCCCCTGACCTTACACCATCCCCCCCTGACCTTACACCATCCCCCCACACCTTACACCATCCCCCCCTGACCTTACACCATCCCCCACACCTTACACCATCCCCCCTGACCTTACACCATCCCCCCTGACCTTACACCATCCCCCCTGACCTTACACCATCCCCCCACACCTCGGCCACACTCTAGTATTGGTCACCCGAGGCTTCGTTAATCATTTCGTTAATAGTTTGTAATTACGTTAGACGCTTATGATTTGAGCCCTCCTTGTTTATTGCTGTAATTAGAATAGGAGGGAGAATATTTATATCAGGGAGAAGCGAAGGTTGATGAGTAACTCTTGACATGACACAACTCAGTGTAATGGGTGCTGATAAGAGCATATTTTCACATTGCATATTTAGGAGAGTGTATTGAACACAAGAGGACTACACTGACACACACTTCACACAAGAGTGTATTGAACACAAGAGGACTACACTGACACACTTTACACAAGAGAGTGTATTGAACACAAGAGGACTACACTGACACACTTTACACAAGAGAGTGTATTGAACACAAGAGGACTACACTGACACACTTTACACAAGAGTGTATTGAACACAAGAGGACTATACTGGCACACATTTTACACAAGAGAGTGTATTGAACACAAGAGGACTATACTGGCACACATTTTACACAAGAGAGTGTATTGAACACAAGAGGACTATACTGACACACATTTTACACAAGAGAGTGTATTGAACACAAGAGGACTATACTGGCACACACTTTACACAAGAGAGTGTATTGAACACAAGAGGAGAACTATAGGGAAGAGAACACAATCAATGAATATAATCAATTTAATATACAATAACTAGTACGGGGGGACGGAGTAGTCATCAACAGCACACAAGTACATTCATGGGTACCGATGAACTGCGATTTCCTCTCAAATTCAATGTCTTAAGCCATACACAACTAAGCCGTCTAAGCCATACACAACTAAGCCGTCTAAGCCATACACAACTAAGCCGTCTAAGCCATACACAACTAAGCCGTCTAAGCCATACACAACTAAGCCGTCTAAGCCATACACAACTAAGCCGTCTAAGCCATACACAACTAAGCCGTCTAAGCCATACACAACTAAGCCGTCTAAGCCATACACAACTAAGCCGTCTAAGCCATACACAACTAAGCCGTCTAAGCCATACACAACTAAGCCTCGGCTCTTTTGAAAGCAGCGACAAATAACCACCCAAACACCATAGTGTAACGTGTAGGTTTAAATTCTACTGTGATGGTAAGAACCAGAGGAAGGGAGGAATAGGGAAGGAGGAATAAGGAAGGAGGAGATGAAGGGGAGGGGTGGGCGAGGAGGTGGAAATGTTTAGAAAACGGAGCGTGGACGGGAAGAGTGGAGGGAGGAGGAGAGAAGGAAGGAGGAGGAGGATTAGGAAGGAGTAGAGAGAGTAGCTGATGTTAATTACTCTCTAATATAATGTATAAGGTGCCACCATCCTGCCAGTTCTTCTACAACATTTGTCACAATTACTAAATAGTACGGCAGGAAGCACCATTTACTGAATCTTTACTGAATAAATTCATGAGTAACAAACAGGCTGGTGAGGTGAGGTGAGGTGCCTCATTTCTCCAGACCTCACCTCCTCAGGATGGTGGCAGCTTATACATTATATTAGAGAGTAATTAACATCAGCTACTCTCTCTACTCCTTCCTAATCCTCCTCCTTCCTTCTCTCCTCCTCCCTCCACTCTTCCCGTCCGCGCTCCGTTTTCTAAACATTTACACCTCCTCGCCCACCCCTCCCCTTCATCTCCTCCTTCCCTATTCCTCCCTTCCTCTGCTTCTCACCATCACAGTAGAAATTAAACCTAAACGTTACACTAGATCTACCTATTACAGACACGCCAGTGCTACATTGCTTTTGTTTGCTTCGTTGAAAGTTAATAAGAGCGCAGGCCATCGTTTCTTGAGGATAGGTCAACCTGGGTGTTAAGGGTAGGTGAATGATGACCTTTGGTGACCTCGGGACCTAAGCGGAGGTCACAGGAGGTAGTTTGCTCCCGACATGTAGAGGTTCTGTCATGTCTCCCCTACACCTCTCACTACTGTCATGGTAACACTCTCTCACGTTAGTCACCTCACCTGTCACACCGTCCCCCTGACCTGTCACACCGTCCCCCTGACCTGTCACACCGTGCCCTGACCTGCCACACCGTGCCCTGACCTGCCACACCGTGCCCTGACCTGCCACACCGTGCCCTGACCTGTCACGCCGTGCCCTGACCTGTCACGCCGTGCCCTGACCTGTCACACCGTGCCCTGACCTGTCACACCGTGCCCTGAAATGTCACGCCGTGCCTTGACCTGTCACGCCGTGCCCTGACCTGCCACACCGTGCCCTGACCTGTCACGCCGTGCCCTGACCTGTCACACCGTGCCCTGACCTGTCACACCGTGCCCTGACCTGCCACACCGTGCCCTGACCTGTCACGCCGTGCCCTGACCTGTCACGCCGTGCCCTGACCTGTCACGCCGTGCCCCTGACCTGCCACACCGTGCCCCTGACCTGTCACACCATGCCCCTGACCTGTCACACCGTGCCCCTGACCTGTCACACCGTGCCCCTGACCTGTCACACCGTGCCCCTGACCTGTCACACCGTGCCCCTGACCTGTCACACCGTGCTCCTGACCTGTCACACCGTGCCCCTGACCTGTCACACCGTGCTCCTGACCTGTCACACCGTGCCCCTGACCTGTCACACCGTGCCCCTGACCTGTCACACCGTGCCCCTGACCTGTCACACCGTGCCCCTGACCTGTCACACCGTGCCCCTGACCTGTCACACCGTGCCCCTGACCTGTCACACCGTGCCCCTGACCTGTCACACCGTGCCCCTGACCTGTCACACCGTGCCCCTGACCTGTCACACCGTGCCCCTGACCTGTCACACCGTGCCCTGACCTGTCACACCGTGCCCCTGACCTGTCACACCGTGCCCCTGACCTGTCACACCGTGCCCCTGACCTGTCACACCGTGCCCCTGACCTGTCACACCGTGCCCTGACCTTACTCCAGCTGCAGCTTTCCCCACCCGGGGTTAAATGCTTCTTAATCCATCTCTCTCTCTCCAGCTGCTCCGTTTACACCTACACCCTATACCTTTTCTGCCCCGTCGCCCTGTGCCCTATACCTTTTCTGCCCCATTTCCCTGTGCCCAATACCTTTTCTGCCCCGTCGCCTTGTGCCCTATACCTTTTCTGCTCCGTCGCCCTGTGCCCTATACCTCTTCTGCCCCGTCGCCTTGTGCCCTATACCTTTTCTGCCCCGTCGCCCTGTGCCCTATACTTTTTCTGCCCTGTGCCCTATACCTTTTCTGCCCCGTCGCCTTGTGCCCTATACCTTTTCTGCCCCGTCGCCCTGTGCCCTATACCTTTTCTGCCCCGTCGCCCTGTGCCCTATACCTTTTCTGCCCCGTCGCCCTGTGCCCTATACCTTTTCTGCCCCGTCGCCCTGTGCCCTATACCTTTTCTGCCCCGTCGCCTTGTGCCCTATACCTTTTCTGCCCCGTTGCCCTATACCTTTTCTGCCCCGTCGCCCTGTGCCTTATACCTTTTCTGCCCCATTTCGCTGTGCCCTATACCTTTTCTGCCCCGTCGCCCTGTGCCCTATACCTTTTCTGCCCCATCTCCACCCGGCGCCCTGCACCTTTTCTGCCCCATCTCCCTGTGCCCTATACCTTTTTTGCCCCGCCCCCACCCGGCGCCCTGCACCTTTTCTGCCCCGCCCCCACCCGGCGCCCTGCACCTTTTCTGCCCCGCCCCCACCCGGCGCCCTGTACCTTTTCTGCCCCGCCCCCACCCGGCGCCCTGCACCTTTTCTGCCCCGCCCCCACCCGGCGCCCTGCACCTTTTCTGCCCCGCCCCCACCCGGCGCCCTGCACCTTTTCTGCCCCGCCCCCACCCGGCGCCCTGTACCTTTTCTGCCCCGGCCCCACCCGGCGCCCTGCACCTTTTCTGCCCCGCCCCCACCCGGCGCCCTGCACCTTTTCTGCCCCCCATCTCCAGCTGCCCCCTGCTGCCCCCGGCTAGCCGTCCTGGTGCTGCCCCCCGGTGTCCTCCCCCCCTGCTGGGTCGCCCTGCTGTAGTCCGCTCTTCTGCCTGTAGGTGTGCCGCGAGTTTCAGCGCGGGGCGTGCAAGAGGCCAGAGCAGGAGTGTCGCTTCGCCCACCCGCCCGATCACGTGAGCACGACAGACGAGGGCACTGTCACAGTTTGCATGGACGCTATCAAGAGCCGCTGTTCTCGTGACCCTTGTCGCTACTTCCACCCTCCCCCGCACCTGCAGGCCCAGCTCAGGGCGAGCCAAGGCCGCGCAGCACAACAGTCCGTGGTAGGCACCGACCTCCCTAGCACCGCCGCTGCTGCTCCTCCTCCTCAACACACCCGTCTTCTCATCACCGCCTCTCACGTTCATGTATTCTTTTACCCCCTCCACATTTCTTTTACTAGTTTATGTTCCTCTCTTTCTGGTAGATCTTAAGCGTGTAGCATTCTCCCTGTTATCTTCTTGACTCTCTAGCTCTTACTAAGAGGACAGGTGTCTATCACCCGGCTTGCTAAGGTTTCTCACACTATTTTGTTTAGATCTGACTGACAGTGACTTTCTGTAGGTGCTTCACCCTATTCTAGAACCGTTTCTTTCTCTGCTTCACTCTGCTCCAAGCCTGCCTACCGTCTCATTCTCTGCTCCAAGCCTGCCTACCGTCTCATTCTCTGCTCCAAGCCTGCCTACCGTCTCATTCTCTGCTCCAAGGCTACCTACCGTCTCATTCTCTGCTCCAAGCCTACCTACCGTCTCATTCTCTACTCCAAGCCTACCTACCGTCTCACTCTCTGCTCCAAGCCTACCGTCTCATTCTCTGCTCCAAGCCTACCTACCGTCTCATTCTCTGCTCCAAGCCTACCGTCTCATTCTCTGCTCCAAGCCTACCTACCGTCTCATTCTCTACTCCAAGCCTACCTACCGTCTCATTCTCTACTCCAAGCCTACCTACCGTCTCATTCTCTGCTCCAAGCCTGCCTACCGTCTCATTCTCTGCTCCAAGCCTGCCTACCGTCTCATTCTCTGCTCCAAGCCTGCCTACCGTCTCATTCTCTGCTCCAAGCCTACCTACCGTCTCATTCTCTGCTCCAAGCCTGCCTACCGTCTCATTCTCTGCTCCAAGCCTGCCTACCGTCTCATTCTCTGCTCCAAGCCTGCCTGCCGTCTCATTCTCTACTCCAAGCCTGCCTGCCGTCTCATTCTCTACTCCAAGCCTGCCTGCCGTCTCATTCTCTACTCCAAGCCTGCCTGCCGTCTCATTCTCTACTCCAAGCCTGCCTGCCGTCTCATTCTCTACTCCAAGCCTACCTACCGTCTCATTCTCTACTCCAAGCCTGCCTGCCGTCTCATTCTCTGCTCCAAGCCTGCCTACCGTCTCATTCTCTGCTCCAAGCCTACCGTCTCATTCTCTGCTCCAAGCCTGCCTACCGTCTCATTCTCTACTCCAAGCCTGCCTACCGTCTCATTCTCTACTCCAAGCCTGCCTGCCGTCTCATTCTCTACTCCAAGCCTGCCTGCCGTCTCATTCTCTGCTCCAAGCCTGCCTACCGTCTCATTCTCTACTCCAAGCCTACCTGCCGTCTCATTCTCTGCTCCAAGCCTGCCTACCGTCTCATTCTCTGCTCCAAGCCTGCCTACCGTCTCATTCTCTGCTCCAAGCCTGCCTGCCGTCTCATTCTCTGCTCCAAGCCTGCCTACCGTCTCATTCTCTGCTCCAAGCCTACCTACCGTCTCATTCTCTGCTCCAAGCCTACCGTCTCATTCTCTACTCCAAGCCTGCCTACCGTCTCATTCTCTGCTCCAAGCCTACCTACCGTCTCATTCTCTGCTCCAAGCCTACCTACCGTCTCATTCTCTGCTCCAAGCCTACCGTCTCATTCTCTACTCCAAGCCTGCCTACCGTCTCATTCTCTGCTCCAAGCCTGCCTTCTCTGCTCCACCGTCTCATTCTCTGCTCCAAGCCTATTCCTACCGTCTCTCATTCTCTACTCCAAGACTGCCTGCCGTCTCATTCTCTGCTCCAAGCCTACCGTCTCATTCTCTGCTCCAAGCCTGCCTGCCGTCTCATTCTCTGCTCCAAGCCTACCTACCGTCTCATTCTCTGCTCCAAGCCTACCGTCTCATTCTCTGCTCCAAGCCTACCGTCTCATTCTCTGCTCCAAGCCTGCCTGCCGTCTCATTCTCTGCTCCAAGCCTACCGTCTCATTCTCTGCTCCAAGCCTACCGTCTCATTCTCTGCTCCAAGCCTACCGTCTCATTCTCTGCTCCAAGCCTACCGTCTCATTCTCTACTCCAAGCCTGCCTACCGTCTCATTCTCTGCTCCAAGCTTACCTACCGTCTCATTCTCTACTCCAAGCCTACCTACCGTCTAATTCTCTGCTCCAAGCCTACCTACCGTCTCATTCTCTGCTCCAAGCCTGCCTACCGTCTCATTCTCTGCTCCAAGCCTGCCTACCGTCTCATTCTCTGCCTCCTGCAGATGTGTGTCTGCCAGGGCTAGTGTTTTCTGGCAAAAAATTTAAAAGCCTCTTTATCTCTGACAAGTTTTGAAGTGTCCACCTTGAAGGACTCGTGCCGGCCTGGCTGTCAGCCGCTCCTCAGACGCAAGGAACTGATCAAGACTTAACACTACCAACATTCTACGGTTGCCGCAGTGAAAGGGTTAAAGTTATAAGGGAAGGTTCGGGTGTAAAATTTTGCGTTGGGTTTTTTGGTTTACTTGGCAACCTGAAGTTTGGGTAGAGACGGTAGAGACAGCCAGGTGAGGTAGTGTAGTGTCGGCTGGCTACCGGAGGACCAAGAGCTTGGTCCCCCGGTGGTGGGTCCGGCTTGTGCTCCCCCTGCCCACTTTCCTCCTACCCCCCTGCACGCGAGCAGCCCCGCTGAGCCCCCACAGTAGTGCCCACCCGCTGCTCCGCGCCCACACCCCCCTGCTGGCCCAACCTTACCTCACAGGCTGCCGGGACGCTCCTGCTGGGCTCATCTGGGTACTTTGGGCCCCACCTCACACTCTTACCCCTCCTACAGACTGGGCAGACAGCTGGGGGAACACCCGCCGCAGGCCCGGGTGTTCTCCTGGCCCCACCCCCACCCACTACTGTCGTGTAGGCGCGGCCAGGAGACGCGCCTCCCCGCCCACACTGCTGCGTCTAGGCCTGTCCTTACACCTACCTTATCTGTAGTAGGGTTTGAGAATTCGTCTAATCGCCAAATCTGACGGAGAGAGAGAGGTTGTCTTGTGATAATTTGATCAGCAAGGCTGTTTCTTGCAGCGAGGCGCATATGCAGTGCGACCGGCGCGTCTCTAGGCCTATTTGACCCCTCTCACTGCTCTCTATCCTGCATACTTCACCTCCATGTGCAGTGTCCTCCTGGTACCATGCCCAGGTACCATCCCCGGTACCACCCCCTGGTACCATCCCCGGTACCACTCCCGGTACCACTCCCGGTACCGTCCCCGGTACCATCCCCGGTACCATCCCCGGTACCACTCCCGGTACCACTCCCGGTACCGTCCCCGGTACCATCCCCGGTACCATCCCCAGTACCGTCCCCGGTGCGCTTGGTGTGGGATACTGGTGAAGTGTTCAGCGCCGCACGCTGATAGTTAATACTTTAGAAGAGTTGAACTGGTGTAGTTAGGAGGCTTGACCTGCTAGTCGGTCAAGTGGTGACGCCTGTGACGGCCGTTGTCGTCGTTCTTGCCGGCGTCACACTACAGGAGCCCGTGTGTGACGGTACCTGCGCGCGCGTGCGTGCACACGCGGCTCAACTCACTGCTCACTAATTAACGCTCCGACCTTCCAACCATATACATATTATTGTATTTCCATGTCACTTCCGTTATAGCTTGTGTCTACATGTGGTATAATTCACCACAGTAAGCGTTAAGACCCCCTGTGTGTGTGTGTGTGTATACACGTCTTATAATAGACATGTTTTCGTATCTTTCTCACCTGTGTCTATTTTTGTTACCACTATCTGCAAATCAGTATTCCCAGAAGGTCAAGCGCCGCCCGCCCCCTCACCCCAGTCTCTCCCCTCCGGTCCTACAGTATTTTCTGACGTCTACTGTTCTCTGTTTACCCCCTCTCCTTCCCTCCCACCTTTCCCAAGCGCCGTAGTTTGCAGGCAGTATAGTGGTTGTTCCTGAGTGTGTCGCAGCAGCAGCAGCAGCAGCAGCAGCAGCAGCAGTAGCAGCAGCCACGGACCAGTATTTGTCAACATGCTACAGAGACTTCTGAATGCTGCCTGTTATCCTCCTCCACGACGTCCGCCTGCCGTCTTCCAGCTAAGTCCCCCCACACACACACACACACACATAGTCGCTCCATGTTGTTACCTCACGGGCATGTACTCCACCATCATAACTTAGTCACATATATATATATATATATATATATGTGTGTGTTTGTGTAGAGTTTGTGTTTATTTAGTCATCGGTAGGCAGAAAATCTTGCATTATATTGTAAGGTAAATTCACATGATGTAATTGTAAGAAGAAAACACCGTGGCCCGTTTTCTATGAGAGGCCACCAATTCTTAACACATGTGAACACGCTGAAGAAAGAGTTTGTAGGGCAATTATTGCTTGGGTTTGTGAAGAAACCGTCAATACTAATTTACACTTGTTTAAGACTTTTGTATTCAAGTGCGCGAGTGCTCTATTGGCAACTGATAACCTTCTTCAGGTTGGTAATATTGAAAATTTCTCAAGTGTTCCTTTGTTCCCCGGTTACCACAGTGTTCCCCGGTGTTACCACGGTGTTACGGCCTCACTGAGCCACTAATCGGGTTCTTTACCTCAATCACTGCGTATGGGGCCCCTTCTTCATTGATCCCCTCCCCCCAAGTCAATAGTAAGTTAACAACAATTGGCCGTAGCAAGTAATCGCGAAAGGAAAAATTTGGTTTAACAATACTAACCAACACCTTCACCAATATAATATCTTCTACATGTTCACTATATATACATACATGTTCACTGAGAGTGTCACTTTCGCTGAGGACACTAAGACGATAAATTCTGCAGTCCACTTTTTCTATTATTACGTCATCCATGTTCAATGGTCCTCACACCGGCCAGTGGCACATGTTCAACACAACACAGTGTTCCCTGTCCTACACCGTAACGCCGCGGTCTCCAATACACCCCCACTTCGTCTCTCCACCAACAGGACTTCAGCAACACGCTGACAGGGATCGCAGATATCACGCACATGGTCTCCAGCAACACGCTGGTAGAACTCCTCAACAGACTGTAGTACTGTCTTCTTGTAACTCCACT